GTATAATTTTCCTGAACCATATATGTATGCAACAATAATCTAATTAACACGCGACTGCAATTCCCCCTCCCCGGGTTCGTATCCTCTGCATTTGGGACCAAAGGCAAAGTTTGCCGTTGGTTCCATCCAGGACATCCATACGTCAATCAACGGTTCCATAGTTTAGCAGTTAGCACCCTTTTAGTGACTAATTAGCAGCTAATTAACTAATAGAGTTGTTCTCTCTTAAAAAAAAATCAAGGAAATGATCTCCAGCGGTAAATCAAATACAACTAATACCTGCCTTGCCTTTTGGAACCAACTCAAAAAATAAGATAAAATCAAGAAGCAAACAATCTCAGGACAAGAAAAATCCTTTATTTATACAGTAGTAAAATAATTATGCCACGTCCGTATGAAACATCTAGCAATTCTAATGCTAAAATCCTCCCAAAAAATAAACATTTATTTTGAAAAAACTAATCTGTCTTTATTGTACAAGAGTATTTTATCATAAGAAAATTAATAGACAGAACCGATCTTGTTAATTAATTGGACTAATATATAGAAATTATTATATTATATTAATTAATTAGCTGTTAATCATCTTTGAGGTGCTAAACCATGCTACCGTTCATTGAAGTACGGATGGTCTGGATGGAACAACGGCGAACCTTGCCTTTCATCCCAAAGGCAAGACGATACTGACCCCCCAGTATTCTTTTTAGTTCAAATTTTGTAGAATAATATAAATATTCGTAGGGAACTGATCCTAATGAACAGAAATTCATCCATTTAGGCAATCATATCCTCGAGGGGGTAATCTAAACAAATTTAAAATTGGACTACTAGTGTGTGTTAATCTTAGTATTTACTACTCCCTCCATCCCATAATATAAGAGATTTTAAATTTTTCTTACAATGTTTGATCACTCGTCTTATTCAAGAAATTTGTGCAAATATAAAAAACGAAAAGTTATGCTTAAAGTATTTTAGATAATAAAGTAAATCAAAAAAAATAAATAATAATTCCTAAATTTTTTGAATAAGACGAATGGTCAAACAGTGCAAACAGAAACGCAAAATACCTTATATTATGGGACGGAGGGAGTAAATAACTTGCATATGTTCGTATCCATGGGACGGACATGCATGATAGGTGCACACTTAAGTACCTGACTTGGATCGAGTTGTTTTATGCATCAACCTTGCATTATTTGAGGAAACTTTTTTCATACCTTAATGCAATATCCTCTTATTTTTACATGCATTTAATATTTTTTAGAAACATAGTATAAACACAAATACTTACAATGCGCGCACATTCACCCTATGAACCTATGAGGGCCTTCATTGATAAAGTCGACACGGACGCCTCACTATCGATGGGTACGTTGCCTACCACGGAAAGAATAATTAGCTATCAACGCGAGCAGCCATGTCAAATCTATAATTTAAACCAGATGAGCTAGTTCCACAACAAGAAACCTACCCAGTTGAGTTACACTCACTTCGCTATATGCACCTAAATTGTTATTAATTTTTTTTAAAAAAAATGACATGATATATTAATATAAGATATTTCATGTCACAAACGTACCAATTTAAAATCAATATATACAAATAGAAATAAAAAAACAATAAATTTGAATGTGAACAGTGCGTACCATTCGCAACGATATTTATTATTTTTTTATAATTGTCTAAGTTAAATTTAAATTTACATATTTGTGAAGTCTATCTTGTTAATATTTTAATTTTTATCACTTTTAAAGTGATAAGTACAAAACAAGGGAATATCCTCATGGAATGGATATATGTCTCCCATCACTGTAGTGATATTTGGCATGGTGAGTTGGTGACATTTCTAGCCATTCGATATTTATTTAGTAGGAGTAATCACAAAGTTTGTTTAATGGTGTCGCTAAATGCGTGACGCGGTACTAATATATAGAATGACATTATGTTGCATCAGCTGGGACTCCCTGCCCCTGCCCTGATAACCTGATCCGTATATCTGATCATTATCTGAAGATGTCTAGCTGCAGCTATGCACACGGAAGAACTTGCGTAGACTTTCACAATCTTCAGCTCCTCAGACAACCTGGATTTTCCTATGGATTTCGAAAATCAATAGCTATAGTATTTAAAAATTGAACTAAAAACTAGAAACGGAAAAACTTCTCACCCGCTAACTACTCATCTCTTAACAATGAATCCTCTAATTCCTGTTTGGCACAATTCCAGCTCCAGCTCCACCTCCATCCTCTACTAGAAAAAAAACACTTTTACCGACGTTAGGTATTTATTTTCGCAGGCGGACATGACCCTCGGAGCCAAATAGCCGCCTACAGAAATACAAACCGGGGTGAAGCTCGTTGTCCGCCTGCGAAAATAGACTTGGAATATAAATAGAGCCAACCTATAGGGCCTATTTTTTTTCAAAGTCCTCATTCTCCCTCATTCCTCTCCCGCGTTGTAATATCCCGGCCTAGGGCTTAATAGAATTAATAGAATATTCATATCAACAAGTTACAACTTCTTTTCCGGAAGCCGATCTCGAAAGAACTTTGAACTTGTGTTGGTTTGTGAGGGTAGTTTATGACCTATGAAAGCTGATAGATGTAAGCGGACCCGACCTGGAAGAGGCGGGACGTTACAAGTGGTATCAGAGCCGACTCTCGCGGTTACACAGGCGCGTGTGTCGCAGTTGCACAGGCATGGGGCTCATGGCTGGTGTGGACTCGGAGTGGTCATACAGCATGGCACATGCGCTGGCACTGGATGCACGGACGTACGTTACAAGTGGTATCAGAGCCGACTCTCATGGTTACACGGGCGCGTGTGTCGCAGTTGCGCAGGCATAGGGCGCATGGCTGGTGTGGACTCAGAGTGGTCACACAGCATGGCACATGCGCTGGCACTGGATGCACGGACGTACGTTACAAGTGGTATCAGAGCCGACTCTCGCGGTTACACGGGCGCGTGTGTCGCAGTTGCGCAGGCATAGGGCGCATGGCTGGTGTGGACCCGGAGTGGTCACACAGTATGGCACATGCGCTGGCACTGGATGCACTGACGTAGTCAAGAGGGGACGTTCCTAGCCTGGGGTTGACCGACGAGGACGTCGGTGTCTTAAGAGGGTGAGGATGTAACATCCCGCCCTAGGGCTTGATAGTATTAATAGAATACTCATATCAACAAGTTGCAACTTCTTTTTCGGAAGCCCATCTCGAAAGAACTCTAAGGTTAAGCGTGTTTGGCTTGGAGCAATTTCAGGATGGGTGACCGATCGGGAAATTCTTCCTGAGAGTGCGCAGAAAAGACTTGTGTTGGTTTGTGAGGGTAGTCTATGACCTATGAAGGCTGCCAGATGTAAGCGGCCCCAGCCTGGGAGAGGCGGGACATTACACGCACCCTCCCCTTCCCCCTCCCCTCCACGACGTTGGGCGGCGGCGGCGCGGCTCCCCTCCCCTCCCGGATCCGGCCAGGGGAGGGCGGCGGTGGCGGCATTGTTTGTCCAGAGGATTTTCGCAGGCGGGTGACTAGGCCACCTGCGAAAATTTATATATGGGTGACGGGAGCCTGCGAAAATGATTTTTGGTTGCCTGAAAAAAATGATTTTTCTAGTAGTGATCTCTCCTGAAGCTGGAGTTCAATCAAACAGTTTTAGCTCCACCTAAAATGGGAGCGGAACTGGGTGGAGTTCTCTCACAAAATGAACTAGAGAGGTGGAGCTAGGTTTAGACAGCTCAACAACTTCACTCGAGACCCAACTCCTGTAGTTATTTAGAAGTTGGAGCTCTACAAGGCCCTAGGGTATGTTTGGCACGGCTCCAACTCGAGTTTTAGAGCTCAGCCAAACAGTTCTAGCTCCACCTAAAATAGGAGTGAAGCTGGGTGAAGCGTTCTCACAAAATAAAGTAGAAATGTGGAGTTGTGTTTAGGGTGTTCTCCAACTCCACTCCAAATCCAATTTCTGAGCTAAATTTAGGAGTTGGAGCTGTACCAAGGGCATGTTTGATACAGCTCCAACTACTAAATATAACTCCAGGAGTTGAGTCTGGAATGGAGTTATGGAGCTGCATAAACCCAGCTCCACAACTCCAGTATATTTTGTGAGAGCTCCACCCAATTCCACTCCTAGTTTTGGTGAAGCTGAAACTGTTTAGCTGAGCTCCAGCTCCGGAAGGGGTGGAGCTGGAGCTAGAGCTATGCCAAACAGACCCCAAATACTACTACTAGCTGCTTTTAAAAATCTCAAAACTCTTCAAACAGCGCCGTTGCGGCATTTGCCAGAGGACTTCATGAAGCACACGATCGAACGAGCGACAAATTAAACAAGGGATACGGAGGAAGAGGTCGATCCGCCGATGCCGTTGCATTGGTTGGTGAGCAGCATCATGCGCGCGCCCACGCCCGCACGCGCACGAGCCCCGCGTGAGCGACGCAGCGACGGCGCGTGGCCGGGCTAGCTGTGGGCGAGCGCGCGCCGAGCCGACCAGCCGCGCCCCGCGGCGCGAGCACCATGCTCCGCGCCTACCTAGTATTCCGATCGTAGACAATTACACAGGCCGACGCGACGCTAGCCTCTGCACCTGCATGGGCGCGCACGCCTCGCTGCCAACCGGCGCATCCGTGCATGGTAATCACGTGCACCCCACGCCGCCTCGCCCCCCTGCCCCTTCTCCCGCACCCCTACCACCACCGTTCGTGTACGTGTCACCGCCGCTTCCCTCTCTCCCCCGTCCTTACGCGTGCCCCCCCACTCTCGCGCGCGCCGTTTCACCCCCTCAAAACTTTCACCAGCTTGTGCCATGCATCTCGCCAATTCGTCCGGTTGAGAATCCTCTACGTGAATTCTACTCTTCTACTGCTTTACGTGTCACTGCCTATAATAGTACTACTATTATGCCCAGTTCGCCACCCAAAATATCTCGTCTTTTCATCTGCCGAATCGCCGTTGAAATGAAAACAGCTAGTAGTACTACTACTCGTAGAAGTGCGTTAAACTGTATACCGTCGCTCGCGTCGCGCGCCGTTGACGACTTTCCCGCGCCTATAAAAGCCGGCGCCTCGTCCGTCATTCCGCCTGTGTCAAGCCGAAGCGTTGAGCTAACGAACGAGAGTCGTACGTCTCTAGACAGTCGAGTCAACAATAGTCATGGCGACTCCGGAGGACACTGGCAGCTGGCTGCTCTACCTCTCCTTGGCGGCTAAATGCTCCGGCGATGGCGACGGCCAGCCTCACCGGCTTCTTGGGTTCGTCGTGGTTTGCGCCGTCGCTGGTCTGGTTACATGTCTGCTGCACTGGTCCTTCCCCGGAGGGCCGGCGTGGGGGAGGTGGTGGTGGACGCGGCGGCGGCGTCGGGGGTCGCCGTGCGGTGTGGCGGCTGTTCCTGGGCTGAGGGGGCTGCCGGTGATCGGCAGCATGTGGCTCATGACCGGGCTGGCGCACCGGAAGCTCGCCGCGGCGGCGGAGGCGGCGGGGGCGGGGCGGCTGATGGCGCTGTCGCTCGGGGAGACGCGGGTGGTCGTGGCGGCGCACCCGGACGTGGCGAGGGAGATCCTGCACGGCGCGGCGTTCGCCGACCGCCCCGTGAAGGAGTCCGCGTACGGGCTGCTGTTCCACCGCGCCATCGGGTTCGCGCCCCACGGCGCGTACTGGCGCGCGCTGCGGCGGGTGGCGTCCACGCACCTCTTCTCCCCGTGGCAGGTCGCGGCGTCCGCGCCCCAGCGCGCGGTCATCGCGCGCCAGATGGTCCGCGCCATCAAGCTGCAGCAGCGGAGCCGGAGCGGCGATTCCGCCGCCGGCGCCGCCGTCGAGGTCCGCCGCGTCCTGCGCCGCGCGTCGCTCCACAACGTGATGTGGTCGGTGTTCGGCCGGCGGTACGAGCTGCAGCTGGACCCCGGCAAGGAGAGCGACGAGGTCCGGGAGCTGAGGGCCCTCGTCGACGAAGGCTACGACCTGCTCGGCCAGCTCAACTGGTCCGACCACCTCCCATGGCTCGCCCGCTTCGACCTGCAGAGCACCCGCGCCCGCTGCTCCCGCCTCGTCCCCCGCGTCAACCGCTTCGTCACCCGCATCATCGACGAGCATCGCTCATCTGCTCCCGTCGCAGCCGCCATCGACTTCACCGACGTCTTGCTCTCCCTGCAGGGCAGCGACAAGCTCGCCGACTCCGACATGGTCGCCGTTCTCTGGGTGCGTCACGTCACCGAAGAACCCAACCTTTCTCGCCGGCGACTACCTCTGCATGTTTTCTCATCGGTTTTCTGATACGTGTGCAGGAGATGGTGTTTCGCGGGACGGACACGGTGGCCGTGCTGATCGAGTGGGTCTTAGCCCGGCTCGTGCTGCAGCAGGACGTGCAGGCTCGGGTGCACGACGAGCTGGGCCGGGTGGTTGGGCTGGACCGGGACGTGACCGAGTCCGACACGGCCTCACTCGTCTACCTCCACGCCGTCATCAAGGAGACGCTGAGGCTGCACCCACCGGGCCCACTCCTCTCATGGGCCCGCCTGGCCACGTCGGACGTACACGTGGACGGGTACCTGATCCCCGCTGGCACCACCGCGATGGTGAACATGTGGGCCATAGCACACGACCCCGACGTGTGGGCCGAGCCGATGGAGTTTCGGCCCGAGCGGTTCATCGGGAAGGCGGCGGAGTTCAGTGTAATGGGTTCGGATCTCAGGCTCGCGCCGTTCGGATCGGGTCGGCGGAGCTGCCCCGGGAAGAGCCTCGCCATGGCCACGGTGGCATTCTGGCTTGCCACGCTGTTGCACGAGTTCGCCCTCCTCCCCTCGCCCGACCCGGCACACGGCGTCGACTTGTCGGAGGTGCTAAGGCTGTCGTGCGAGATGGCCACCCCGCTGGCGGTGACAGCGTGGCCTCGGCGTGTGGTGTGATGACGTGTCCAAGCTACGTCATCAGAGATGCTCCTTACAAAGACTACTTGATGGTGCCTTGTACTCCCTCCGTCCTAAAAAAAACTCAACATAGGAGGGGATGTGACCCCTTCTAAGACAACGAATCTGGACTGACTAACGACGCTTAGTCCAGATTCGTTATGTTAGGAGGGGTCATATTCCCTTCTAGGCTGAGTTTTTTTTGGACGGAGGGAGTAGTTGTAGCATATGCTTTAGATGCTCCTGCCACTACATATATAGGATGTGAAGTGCTGATGCTTTTTGGACGCCTGGTCAGCCTGCACCGGCACAAAGGCCACAAGGGTGTGTATGCTGGCGAAATGAGGTGACTGAGTGTGATATTTTTGTTTTGTACTGTTCTCTTGCTAAATATTACCCTCGGCTTGCTCTGTAAATTAGTCTCAATGGTATGGAATTGTACATCTATTTTACTGCCAAGACTCGAAATCTCCATTTCCTTGCAATGCTAAGCTGAACTGTAACTGATTTGGCTCACAAAGGAAGGACCAAGAACAATCCCTGACAAAACATCTCAACCATAAAATTCAGGAGTTAACAAAAGCATCCGACAATCTGAAGCATGACTAGATCCAAGCATATCCTGAAGACCTGAACACTAGATTTTATTCCTTCAGAGTTCAGACTGTAAACTAGCTAACCAGCCACTTATTACAACTGGTCTGAACTCTGAATTATTCCCAGCTTCTTTCTCTGAAGATGGCAACCGTTTGGGGCTCTTGGCAGATAGCTTCTTGTAACCGCGCTACCTGCCATGAAATCTGAGGACAACAACTTGGCATCCATTCCTACCCAAGCGCGTGCCTCTCTTATCTCCCAATTTCACTGCCGAAAGTTGCCAAGTTCACTAGCGGGTCGCTTTTCTCTCGAGGCACAAGTTGAGGCGCTAAGCTACAAAACTGAAACTGGCATCTTGGGTAGAAACCGATCTGTGAATCCGACGCATGATGTTTTCTAGTAGGAGGTTCAGTTTAAGTCGATCGGCAGAATGTATCACTGTCTTTGCTTCATTTTTGGTTTCTTTCATGATAAAATCCAGCCGATCGAATTGCCGCGCAATCGCAGTCTATCCATAATCCTTAATATAGCAGTCAGTGTTTATTTGTCACTGAAATGTGGGGTTGAAATGGCCAAATGTTACACAGGAACAGATAAGGATCATGTCAAGCATATGATATGTAGTTTTTGCTATGCAGCAGTAGTTAAAATTGTTGCAACCAATTACTCAAGTCAGTTTACTTTTCACTCATGCATCATGCATGCTACTACATCACCAAGACAGGAAGCACTATTAATTGGTAGGAAAATCACATGATAAGTACAGCATATTATTGATGAGAGAGCACCTAGTGCATGCTCAGGATTCTTTAACAACTCTGATTAGAAGGGTTTTAGGCTTTCAGCAAGTGTATAATGTATACGCAGAGGTTCTGATCGACTGAGTCACAGACCCATAAATCCATAATTAATTCTGGAAAGGGATTGCTCAAGCTTTTAGAACAGAGATTAAACTCACCAAATCAATCATAGTGCAGCAATTTTGCTGTTGTCAGACGATCTGTGTCCACTTGCTGTATCTCAGTCCAAGTTTGTGGTCAGATTAGACAGTTAAGCAGCCGGACTGATTGATTGTGTAGCTTAGAACGACTCAGATTGATTTATGCAGGCCCCCAGCTAAGCTACACAATTTACATATATATCATCATTAGTATGCAGCTGTTTCGATTTTGCCCAAAAGATGCATCATGATCACGCAGGAACAACATGGCTTCACAACAAAGGATAGAGCACCTTACGATGGTCTGTACTCCTCCCTCCGTCCCATAATATAAGGATTTTGAATTTTTACTTGCACTGTTTGACCACTCATCTTATTCAAAAAATTTATGCAAATATAAAAAATAAAAAGTTGTGCTTAAAGTACTTTGGATAATAAAGTAAGTCAAAAAAAATAATTCTAAAATTTTTTGAATAAAATAAGTGGTCAAACGGTGTAAGCAAAAACTCAAAATCACTTATATTATGGGACAGAGGGAGTATTATTTCACTGCAGTATTATCACCAGCAGAAGTGATCTCAATCATTCAATTGTGAGTTTTATTACTAGTAAAGAAACATATATTTTATTATAAGTAGTTGAGATGGTAGTACAGATAGAAATAAATACGATATATGGATTAGGAAAGATGAAGTCGAAATTAATTCTAATACTACTATAAACCATCTCCAAAGGGTTATTATTATCTTTAGACCTTTTATGAATAAGAAAATCTACAGGACGGTGTTTGTGCAAGATAAATTAATGAGATACTTATCCTTTCCTCTTCCCTCGCTCCATCCTCCTCCGCCCCCTCCTGTATTTTCCCCTCCTCCTCCTATGCTCCTCCTTCTAGCCGTAGACAACTACTTCGTAGAAATGCTTAGCGATGGTGGAGCAGGCCAATGAAGCCAGATTATAGGCTAGACCCTTCCCACCTACTGGATCCGGCCGAGTGCACGTCAATAACAAGGGCGGTTGCCAGCATCATTCTCGTGGCCTCCTCCAGTTCATACTTTGAGGCATAACGGCATCCATCTAATCTGGCTTCCATGGCGAAAGGGGGCGACCAGGAAGAAGGAATGACATCGAGAAAGATGCCAATCAGCGCATTGTCGATGGTGATGCAAGGGAGAGGCCAATAAAGTTGTTGGACTTGGAGTTTCGATTCACAACAACATGGTGGTGAGCCCATCGTGCTCCTTGCCGGTATTTTGTGCAGTTGCGGTGCATTATCCTTATCTGGTACCTATGGTATCACAGCTGATACCTACGGGGTATCAAGTCTATCAGACTGTCACTAGCACCTCCTCTCCTCTTCTCCCTTCCCCTTGGCTCAACCCTTGCTCCCTGTTATTGTTGTCGTGACGAGCGTCATTGCCAATAGGGATGCAAGTGGGTAGTTCCGCTACCCGCATAAAAACCCGCTTGCTAGTTTATTTCTCACACGATATTACAAAATTTAGAAGAAAAAATGAACTAAAAGTAAGATAAGCGGGCTAAAAAACCCACTTGCCCGCCCCACTTGCATCCCTAATTGCCAACGTAGCCGCTGTTGGCTCAAGGTGCGGGGCGTGAGTGCGTGGAGTGAGGGTAGGATTATGCTAGACTACGAGTAGGAGCGGATACATGGAACTACGTCAACCTTCATAAAGTATCCTGTTCGGACGATATCCCATGCTCTAGCAGCTCTCTTTATGAACAGAACCATTTGTTAAACATACGGTTTGGTCTATCTGTTGGAATTAATGAATGGGCCTTAGCCCACTCGAAGATTAATTCTTTGGAAAATCACAAAAGCCCACCTCATGGGATGGCATGCATGTGGAGTTTAGTACCACCTTGCTTATTCTAGGAGAGGGGGACCTCCTTAAAAGGGAGGATGCCCTCCTAGTCGCTTGAAGCATGTGTGGTGGAGAGAAGAGGGGAAACACACGCGCGCGCTCGCTCGCCTCGCCTGGCAGGGCAGGGCAGGCGGCGCGCGTGCACGACGTACGCGTCGAATGGTCCGAAAAATTGGCTCCTCACCCTTGCGCAGATGCAGCCTCCTTTTGCAGTTTTGTTTTGTTGCAAATTCGGATTCGTTTTTGTTTTGGAAACGTTCCGAAAGATCCGGTGCGTGCAAACGGCGTGGAGTCCGGATAAGTTACGCGCGACTTATCCGGTTCGGTTACGCGCAATAGAGATCGTGCGGGCGCCCTGATCAAGCGACCCTTCTCTATATAAACCGACCTGCCGTCTTCACGCAACATACAAAAAAATCAATCTAGGGTTTGCTTCCTACTCTGTACTGCGCCGTCGCTCGTAGACTACTCCATCCCGCTCGCCGGCGTGCACCGGCGATCGGGAGAGCAGGTCTCCGGAACCTCTGCCTTCGACGTTCTGCACCGGGAGAAGGCAGCAATAAGGTTTTTGGGAAGCGCTTCGCGCGACTGCTCCCTGTTCGTTCGCGACGGCTCGCCTTCCTCTTCGCTCGCGTGTTTCGTGCCTTCGTAGACACTTGCGAAAAGTTTCGACCAAGCAGCCGGTCTTTCCGTCACCTCGGTACGTGTTCAATATGTTGCGCATATTTAATCTGTTCATGTTATACTGTGTAGTTTACATGTGTAGATCTAATGATGCGTTCATGCTAGTTTTCATCTGTAATGTCATGATTTATTTATGGAATAGATTAAATCATTATATGTCTATAATCTCAACAATCCAAAAACCTTATTATAGGCACTGTGATTTTACTATGGCTGGTTTTGCCGATGCACTGAGACCGGATAAATTCACCGGTGTGCATTTTAAGAGATGGCAGATCAGGGTCACTCTGTGGTTGACAGCTATGAAATGCTTCTGGGTGAGTACTGGCAAACCTGAAGGAGTTCTTACTGCTGAACAGCAGAAGCAATTCGAGGAAGCCACTACTCTCTTTGTGGGATGCATTCTTAGCGTTCTTGGCGATCGTCTGGTCGAGGTGTATATGCATATGACCGACGCTAAGGAGTTGTGGGATGCACTGAATACTAAATTCGGTGCTACTGATGCTAGCAATGATCTGTATATCATGGAGCAGTTTCATGACTACAAAATGGCTGACAACCGTTCTGTAGTCGAACAGGCTCATGAGATACAAACCATGGCTAAGGAACTCGAACTCCTTAAGTGTGTCTTACCCGACAAATTTGTGGCCGGGTGCATTATTGCAAAACTACCTCCATCTTGGAGGAGTTTCGGTACTGCACTCAAACACAAGAGACAGGAATACTCCGTTGAGGGGTTGATTGCGTCTCTTGATGTTGAGGAGAAAGCTCGGGAAAAAGATGCCGCGTCTAAGGGCGATGGTGGGCAGTCCAGTGCCAATGTTGTGCACAAGGCCCAGAACAAGAGCAAGGGGAAATACAAAGCTCAGCAGACCACCAACTTCAAGAAGCAGAAGAAGAACAACAACAATCCTAATCAGGATGAGAGGACTTGCTTTGTGTGTGGCCAAGTTGGTCATCTGGCTAGGAAGTGTCCACAGCGCAAGGGGATGAAGGCACCTGCAGGGCAGACTTCTAAGTCTGCTAATGTGACCATTGGCAACACTGGAGATGGAAGCGGGTATGGTAATTTACCTACTGTTTTTTCAGTTAATCAATCTACTAATTGGTGGGTTGATACTGGGGCCAATGTACATGTTTGTGCTGACATCTCATTGTTTTCTTCTTATCAGGTCGCACGGGGTTCCACCGTCCTAATGGGGAATGGGTCACATGCTTCTGTTCATGGTGTTGGCACGGTAGATCTGAAGTTTACTTCGGGAAAGATCGTGCAGCTGAAGAACGTGCAGCATGTCCCTTCTATCGACAGGAATCTTGTTAGTGGCTCCCGTCTGACTAGAGACGGATTTAAGTTGGTTTTTGAGTCTAATAAAGTAGTCGT